TGAGTCTTCTCTCTCTTTTTCTTAGTCTAGCTAATTTTATCAAAAGAACCAACCCTTAGTCTTGTTCATCTTTTCTATAGCTTTCCTATTCTCTATTTAATTTACTACTTCTCCACTCTTTATCACTTCCTTCTGTAGGTATCCTCTTCATACCTACAGAGGGCCACAAACATGAACAGGGGTGACAGCAAAGATTTCACAACCTGAGGATGGATGTATTCTTAGATAATCTGAGTTAATATGCTGGAAATGTGATTTCACAGAATACATAATACAATGGTGTTAAAATTATTTTTATTCTGCACTTACCATAAATAGTATTCTGCATGCTGAGCTGAAACAATAACCACCTTGTCTAACATTGTCTCTTGAGAAACTAAGGTTCAATACTAAATACTATCCATATACTACTTGCGAAGAAATATAGTTATTTTTCCTGCAACCACAGACCTCTGCTAATGCCCCAGTATCTGACTTAAGTCAGAGAAGGCAATTCTTTTCTCAAATGTATGCAGTAGTGAAGAAGACTTCAGTTCTCCTATGTGGGGGCTGCTTAAATCTGGCTCCTTGCCTGCTTCCTGTCATGAGGGTCATGAGTGTGGATAAGAAGTGATGTCACTAATGACAGCCTGAAGTGGGCACTGGCTACCAGATTTGGCATGGGTGGTTCCATAAAAGAAATTAAGGTTATATTCAACTGCACAGTTGAACATGAACGGGGTGGAAGGTAGGGGGGAGAACAGCCCTAAATTTCAGAAACAAAAGGACATCCCTCAGAAAGCAAGAAATCCATGGCTTCCTGCATCCTAGAAGTTGCTTCTGCTACAGAAAAATAGACCTGCTTTATTTGTTAAACAAATGTCCAAAAAGTGACGTATGCTTTAGAACCAGAAGTAAATATATTTGATATCATATTCTCAACAAGATCCACTGCAGCTCTTTTTAAATCATGGCCTCTGATAGATCCATACATTTCCTTAGTCCAAGATGAAGCAGCCCAGGGCAACCCTATCCAGAGAACACAGCTCGTGAAGAATGGACACTCCATACTTAAAAAATAGTCTTACGTCAACTTCCCTTCCACCACACCTGTGCGTGTTGCCTTTGTTTCACTCTTGTACTCACCTAGGCATTAAACTCTTCCTCTTCACCGATTTCTAGGGAAAAAAAAATCAAAAACCCAATCATATATCACTCATATGTAGAATCTAAAAAAAAAAAAAAGAAAACCACACACACACACACAAATAAACTTATTTACAGAACAGAAACAGAAATTTATTCACAGACATAGAAAACAAACTGATGGTTACCAGGGGAGGAAGGGAGTTGGAAGGGATAAATTGGGAATTTGAGATTTGCAGATACTAACTATTATATGTAAAATAGATAAACAAGTTACTTTCATATAGCATAGGGAACTATATTCAATATCTTGTAGTAACCTATGGAGAAAAAGAATATGAAAACAAATATATGTATGTATATGTATGACTGAACTATTATGATATACACCAGAAACTGACACAACATTGTAAACTGACAATACTTTAATTAAAAAAAAGAATATGAAAAGGAATGTATGTCTGTATATGTGTGACTGAAACATTATGCTGTACACCAGGAATTGATGCAACATTGTAAACTGACTATACTTCAATACCAAAAAGAATCCAATCACGGCAACCTTTTTGTGAGGGTGAATGTTTATTGAAGATTTGGAACATTTCAGGGGAAGTACTGCACAACATTCTATCATCTCTCTACAATCTTCCTCTTTTTCCATTTTCTTCAATCTCCTCCCTTCCCTGTTTGGACTCACTCAGCACGGCTCTCTATCAGTCAAGACAGGCTGTGAAGTGCCATGGAACAAAACAACCCCCAAACCTGCGGCTTAATACAAACATTTATCTGGGAATGAGACCTTCTCTGGTGTGCTTTGAGAGTACCCACAGAGGAAATCTGAGCCTAAGCCCTACATTTACACCTTTTACATCATGGATAGTTATTCAGAGACTGAAAATATTACAATATGCCAAGGAAGACCTTATAATTCCATAAAAAGAGAACTTTATTTTGGCCTAATGATTGCTAGATTAGCACTTCCTTCAGAATATGTGGTAACTTTAAAAAATTTAGATGCCTGGACCTCATCCATAGATATTTTGATTCAGTAGATTTGATGTGGGGTTCAGGACTCTAAATTTTTATCAAGCTCTCCAGGTACTTCTGAAAATTATCCTGTTTTGAAACCTCTAGTTCAGGGGTCAGTTCAGGGGTCAGCAAACTACAGCCTTCAAGCTGAATCTAACCTTGCCACCTGTTTTTGTAAATAAAGTTTAACTGGAATGCAGACATGCTCATTCATTTATGTACTGTGGATGGCTGTTTTTGTGCTATAATGGCAGAGTTGAGTAATTGAGACAGAGACCATATGGCCCATAAAATGTAAATTATTTACAATCTATTCCTTTATAGAAAAAGTTTGCAGACCCCTGCTCTTGTCTGTTTCAGGACTAATTTCCAGAGTCATGTTATTATTAGTGGCAGGAACTAAATAAAGCAATATAGGTGATCATTACTGAAAATAACAATACCTGGACTGAATTCTTACAATCTTTATCTTTATATGAGAAAGATGATTCTCTTCTGTATATACAAACTACCAATTTTTTCCTGAGTTATACTGCCCCCTAATGGTATAAATGTTAAATCACAGACGTTTAATCAGATGAGATGTTCCCAAATGTTAATCAACTCCTGAAATCAGTCACTACAGACTGTAGCTAGGGACTTTAGGAACCAGCTCACTCAGTAGAACTGAGCAAGACTAAATGGCCTGAGAGAAAGTTGGCATTTTAATGAGAATTAGAATCTCTTCCTTCTGTAAAGTTCCTTTCTCTTCAAAAACTGTGACTCCATGTAGCATGTCTAATTAGACAGTCATTTACTCCTAAGGGGATACATTTTCTTGGGGATATTTCGGCCATTCATGATGCCATGTGCATCTCCCAAATTGAAGCACAATACTATCCATATGGTCAAAATCACATGTGCACTCATTATGATGAACTGTGATGAAAGGAAAGAAAGCTTAAATAGGAATCTAGATGCATGCAGACATACACAAAGATTGTTACCAAAGGGTACTGCACACATATTAGGCAATAATGAGACAGCAGAGGATGAGAACGGTGGCTTTCCCCCTTGACTATCGATTAAAACCCTCCGAGGACCTTTTATAACATAATGATGGCCAGATCTCCACTCCTGTATTTTCTGATCCTACTCGTCTGGGGAGAGCCCCATGCAGCAGAATTTTTTTTTTAAGCTCTCCAAGTAATTTTACCATGTCCCATCTAAATATTGTCACTTGCCATCTGCCTCTACAAGGATTAGGTCTCTAGCTGCTGCAGTCACTGACCTTCAACACACCCTGAAAGGAGTTCAGGGCAGCGATTAGGAAGGATTCACTCTGTGCTCTGGGAAAACTGGCAAAATAGACCTTCAGATAGTCAGCTATTTTTCTGGGGAAGATTTTATGAGCCCAATTTCTTGCATTTTCTCATACCTAGAAAAGCACTAAAGTATTAACAAAGACAACAGCAGCAACTCTGCCAAAATGTGTGCTTGGCTGCAGGTACCCACATTCACCAAAATCACATATATACTGACTTCCCTCTTTACCTCTTGGGAGCAGCTCCTGAAGCTATCTAAGTAGCTATCTCCCTGACTGTAGTCCTTACTTTGCCCCAAATAAAACTTAACTCACAACTCTCATGTTGTGCTTTTTTTTTTTCAGTCGACATGTGTAATCAAGGTTAAGAATCATTTTTCCACAGCAGTGTTTCTCAAATTTTAAGGTATATTCAAATCACCTATGGATCTAAAAAGATGTGCACACTGTGATTCAGTGTGTCTGTGATGAAACCTGAGAATGATTCCTAACCAGCTTCAGGGTGATGCTGATGCTGCTATGTGTGGACTACACTTTGAGTGGAAGGAATTAGATCATCCCCAGCCATGAGCCACAGTTTTTATGCAATCTCAGTGGTTCTGAGATCTTAAAGTACATATCACCTGGGAGCTAACTAAACTTGCAAATTGGCAAGTTCTAGTCTCAGAAATTAAAACTCAGTGGATTTCAGTTTTTAACAAATGTCCCAACTGATTGATATTCATAGCATGAACCACACACACACTTACCTACACAAATGGTATTTATTCTACAAATCACATGTGTTTAAAAAGGCAGCAACACTGCTTATTAATTTTACAAGCTACCTTGACTAAATGTGGGGAAATGTTTCTCTTGATCTGGATGAAAGAAGAAATTATTCTCAAATTCATTGGCTTAAACCAACAATTTTATTACATCTCATGGTTTTGTGGGTCAGGAATTTGGGCCAAGGTCAAGCAAGGTGATTCTTCTGTTCTCCCTGTGGTGCTGACTGAAGTCACTTAGTCACTTAGTGGTATATAACTAGCAAATAGGTTGGTCTGAAGAGTCCAACATGCTTCACTTCACATACCTTGACTAGAAGGCTGGGCCCACTGGGCCTGTCACCTGGAATGCCTACACACCTCTCCAGTCTGGCAGTCTTGGTTGGGGTAGTAGGTGTCCTTACATGGCAGCTCAAGGCTCCCAGAGACTGTTTCAAGACAAAGGAAGTGGAAGTTGCCATTCTCTCAAGGCCTGGGCTCAGAAACTGGCAGTGTCATCTCTACTGGTCAAAGCAGTCACAAAGCCCAACCAGATTCAAGGGGGAAGAGTCAGAAACAGGCTGGAGTCATGGGTGTGCAACCAGCCCTTTGAAGAACCACAAGTGCAGTTGCATAGGGACCCGAACTCAAAAGGACCCCATGCTTGGTTTAATGTTCTGTCATCTTGAAATTCTTTATAATTTTTGAACAAAGGGCATTTTGTACTGAGACCCACAAATTATGTAGCCTGTCCTCATCATAAACCTCACTTTTCAAAGGAGAGAATATTAGGGGGGTGGGGTATAGCTCAGTGGTAGAGCACATGTTTCACAGGCATGAGGTCCTGGGTTCAATCCCCAGTGCCTCTACCAAAAAATAAATTAAATAAACCTAACTACTCCCCCCGCCCCCCAAAAAACCCACAGACAAAAATTAATAAATAAAACAAAAGGAATAAAACTTTTTAAAATGTTTTTTAAATGGAATGAGCACTAAAAATTTTGTAGCCATCTTTAATCAGTCATAAGCTGCCTTCCAGAGACATTATTCCTCATCAAAGTTCTGTATTCAGAGTTATCCTTTCAAAATGCAGACTGAGGTTTGTTGGTTAAATTCAATACAACATAAAGAAGGGAAACAAATTATGAGGCTGGAAATTGGAGTAAATTCTGTGATGTTTTAGGATTAAGAAATATGTTGGAAGCCAATCACACTATTATACTAAATACCTGCTAGCACCCTGTAACTGATCACCTCTGTGCTCACTCACTCATTTAGGTCACTTATGCATTAACCAACAGTTGCCCAAGGTCAGTATGGATGCTAAATTTTTGCATACGGTCCTTGATAAGAAAGACAGCCAGTAATCACTATATAGGGGGAAGCCTCCATGATCTCACCAAACCTGGTTTTGAGTTTTGGGGCATCCACAAAACTAAGTAAAGTTTATTAAGGAAGGCAGTGACAACCTCTATGCTTTTTGAGGACAGGGCCACATCTGACATCTCTCTGGGTCATCAGTCATTTGCACTAACTATGTTATGTTCTCAGCAGAGCTCAGTAAGGGTTGCTGGTGATGAATCTAAGCAACAAATGGAATAATCACAATGACAACTACCAAAAAACCCAGATGGATAGAATGTAGACACAATTAATGAAGGATAAGGTCAGGGAAACAATCAAGCACAGTACTCTGCACACAGGCAAAGATTACTGAATTGAAATGATTGATATAATAAACTCCTGAAAAGTATGATTATCCAGGGAAAGTTTCTTAGAGAAAGAAGCTACACTTTGAAAGAAATGAGGGTGGGCAGAATACTGAAAGGAAACAGAAACTATGTTGGTATGAGGAGGAGAAGAAAATCAACAAGATTTGGGTAGAGGAATGTGGGGGGACGGAAGTTACTGGATAGATGAAAGGTGGGGGGGGGTCACTGCTACAGGGCACTTGTTTCAGGCTGCAGAATCTGAATTTACTCCACAAGCTGTGGGAAATTAGTTTAGTTTCTTCTTGGTTTGGAAGAAATGGGTGATGGTTTTTAATTTTATTACACAAACATAATAATGGAAGTCTCTAGGATGCACATTCCAAAGGAGATACAAGACTAATATGCATAATTTTCCAAAGAAGATGGTCTGAAACTTAGTGAAGGATCCTTAAACCACTGATTCAGACTGAGGGTACAACAATTAGAAGTTAGAGATCAGAAAAGGTCTCTAAAAGAGAGACATTCTTGAGATACTTAACGGTGGGAACGTTTCCTTTTATCCCAGGAGACTACCTGAAGAAGTTAATAGGTATCTCTTGGGAGTTTGAAGAACACAATGGCCTGGTGTCTGATTCCCTCCTGAAGAAAATCTAAAGGGTAAGGGAAGGGACTGGCTACTTTGATGGAGGGAGTGAGAACTGGGCTGCATTCCCACAGTCCTTTGAGGCGAAGATTGTGCTTCCTGTTGTGGTAGATGTTGTGATGCCTGAAAGACTTGTTCCTCCAGCCACTGTAAGTGATGTCAGCAGACAGTCCTCTACTGTCAGTCTCCAGTGGGACTGCTCTGGCTGAAGAGAGCTAATGACTAACTGGTATAGGTGTATAAGGTCCTATCCCCCACCCCAATTTAGGAGAACTCTGCAGCGCCATCCCAGCTTCAGAAGTCCCAGTAGCTCAACTTCTCCCGCTGATCAACTTTTCTTTTTTCCCTCTCTTTCTACAGGTGTCGATCTCAAGGGGACTCCCCAAAAAACGTACGCCATGGTTATCTCCATCTGAGTCTGCTTCCCAAGAAACCTGACCTGTAGCACCTGTAGATCAGATGTGGGCCCCACAGACAAGTGAAATACCCTGGATCATCTTGCATCTGTCCAAGTGGGACCCTGTAGGGACGAACAAACATCAGTGGAGAGGATCCTTAAAGTATGACTGAATTCCTTACACCTGGGGAAGGAGTGAGCAATAGCTGGAATAGGGCTGCACCAGCCCGGGTCAAGGGAACTGAAGATTAAAGACTTCCAGTTATGAGAGGGAGAGGAGTCTCTGAAGAACTTAGAAAACTCCCTGTGAGAAGGAGCTTTAACAGTTCTCCAGGTCCAAAGAGCACCTATGTCCAGCTTACCAAGCTGTCAATCAAATGAAGTCTTTCCTGCCCCTTCGCCTGTCCTGTTTCCCAGGGCTCCAAACCTCGAGAGGTTAGAAACTCAGCGGAAGGGCAGAGAACACAAGACAGGGTAAGAGAGCAGATGCCAATTCGGTTCTTTCCCTGACTTAAAAGCCTAAAACAGTTCCCCCACCTCTCTCCTCACTCCTTTCCTTTTATTTGGTGAGATGCCTCATAGTTCCTCTGATGCGCGGTCTCCACAGTCCTTTGTTGCAAAAAGTCAAACCCTCACCTTGTCTAAGGATTGTCCATGGTGATCTCAGGATGTAAAGCCTAAAAGCATTGTCTTGGCTGGTCCTATGTCTCTCTGAGGTCATTACAACTGCACGCCTACTGAGAGACACGCAACGAGAGGCGCACAGCAGCCGCTCAATAATTTCTCAGATTTCCCAGTTGCCTCAGGAGCGGAGCGCTGGGTCAGCAGCGGCGGCAGGACAGAAACAGCAACAGCCCGGGTGGACCAACTGCGGACCCAGGCCAGTGCTCCCTGCGAGGCACGCGCCGGTCCGCAAGCCTCCAGCCAGGCAGAGTCAGCGGAGTAAAACCTACTTGCGCTCGCTTGTGGGCCCTGACGTAACGCAACGGCTGTCCGGCCGGCTCCTCGCTTCTCTCTCCGCCCCGCCCAGTCCTGCTGCCCCGCCCCATCAGTTCCGTTCCTCTCGCCCCGCCCAGCCACCCTGCCCTCGCCCTGTACTTCCAGGTTGCCCCGCCCTGTCCCTCTTGTCAGCCCTCTGGCCCGTCCCTCCTCTAGCCGCTCGCTCCGCCCCTTCCTACTGCCCGCCCCTCCCCTCCCGTCCCGTCCCGCCCCCTTTTGCTGCCCCGCCCCGCCCCGCCCCGCCCCGCTCGTCCCGTCCCGCCCCCTCCTGCTACCTTGCTGGCAAGTAGCTGCGGCAGCTGGCGCCATGGGGACCGCCTCGTCGCTCGTGAGCCCTGCGGGCGGGGAGGTGATCGAGGACATCTACGGGGCGGGCGGCGGTGAGGCCTGTGAG